CTCAGTAAGGTTTCTTTAAAGTACAACCCGCTCTTCTGGACTCCTTTCCCTCTCAAACTGGCCTCCCAGGGGATCCTGTCCATCAGTTCCCCGAGTGAGTTGAAGTCTGCTTTTCTGAAGTCCAGGAGCCTTACTCTGCTGCTTTCCATCCTTCCTTTCCTCAGGATCCTGAACTCAATCATTTCATGGTCGCTGCTGCCCAAGTTGCCACCCACTACTACATTCCCCACCAATTCTTCCATTTGTGTAGCCGGGCAAGAAGCAGCGGTGATGCATAGGAGGTGTACATGCACCCAGTGAGAGCACTGGTGCACCCCGACTGGCCACGCTCGCTGCTTAGGTGATAGGCAGTGGGAGAGGGAGGAGCACTGGTGCTCCCCGCCCCGCCTTGCAAGCACTGGCTGATTGCTGTGATCGCTGCAGCAGCTTCTGGGATTGGCTGCGGCTGCAGCAATCAGCTGGCGCTTGCTCCCAGAAGCGGCCACAGCCACTCCTGGAAGCAGCTGCAGTGATAGCCCAAACAATCGGCTGTCATAGGATTGCTCAGGGGACCCCCCGGTCTGTAGGATCACCCATTTCATAGACATCATCAGGGCTGGAAGGGACCTCGGAAGATCATCGAGTCCAGCCCCCCGCCCAAAGGGCAGGAAGTCAGCTGGGGTCATAGGATCCCAGCAAGATAAGCATCCAGTTTCATCTTGAAGGTGTTCAATGAAGGCGCTTGAACCACCTCCGGTGGCAGGCTGTTCCAGACCTTGGGGGCTAGGACTGTAAAAAAATTCTTCCTTATGTCCAGCCTGAAACGATCTTGAAGTAGTTTGTGACCATTCGACCTCGTCATCCCTTGGGGCGCTCTGGTGAACAAACGTTCCCCCAGATGCTGGTGGTCACCCCTGATAAACTTGTAGGTGGCCATCAGATCACCCCTGAGCCTGCGCTTTTCCAGGCTAAAGAGCCCCAGGGCTCTCAGCCTGTCATCGTAGGGTCTGCTTCCCTGACCTCTGATCATGCGCGTGGCTCTTCTCTGGACTCTCTCAAGCTTCTCCACATCCTTTTTGAATTGTGGAGCCCAAAACTGGACACAGTACTCCAGCTGCGGCCTCACTAAGGCCGAGTACAGGGGGAGAATGACGTCCCGGGATTTGCTTGAGAGACGTCCCGGGATTTGCTTGAGACGTCCCGGGATTTGCTTGAGATCATCGAGTCTGACCCCCTGCATAGGCAGGGAAGAGTGCTGGGTGGGAGAACCTTGCATTTATCGGCGTTGAACACCATCAGATTCTCGTCCGCCCACTTGCTGAGCCTGTCCAGGTCAGCCTGGATAACCTGCCTGTCTTCTGGTGTGGATGCTTTGCCCCAGAGGTTGGTGTCATCGGCGAACTTGGCCAGTTCTGATCGCTTCTGACTCCAGTGTCCACATCATTAATGAAGATGTTGAACAGTATGGGTCCAAGGACAGAGCCTTGGGGGACCCCACTGGTCACAGGACACCACGATGAGTGACTTCCATCGATTACTACCCTCTGGGTCCGACCCCGGAGCCAATTTTCCAGCCAGTGGATCGTGGAGGACCCAAGGCGACAATTGGCCAGTTTCTCCAAGAGGCGATCATGGGACACCAGATCGAAGGCTTTTTTGAAGTCAAGATATATGACATCAATCTCTTCTCCCTTGTCCAGGTGATAGGTCACCTGGTCGTAGAAGGAAATGAGATTGGTCAAGCAAGACCTACCTGCAACAAACCCGTGCTGGCTATCCCTTAAGATGTTGGCGTTGGCCAGTCCATTAAGGATGGCCTCTTTAATAAACTTTTCTAAGATCTTCCCCGGGATAGAAGTCAGGCTGATGGGCCTATAGTTAGCCGGATCCACTTTCCTCCCTTTCTTGAAGATAGGCACCACATTGGCCTTCTTCCAGTCTTCGGGCACTACACCAGAGCGCCAAGAGTTTTCAAAGATCCGTGCTAGAGGCTGGGCTATGATGCTCGCCAGCTCCTTGAGTACCCTGGGGTGAAGATTGTCAGGGCCAGCTGACTTGAAGGTATCCAGCTTCTCAAGATGTTCCTTCACAAAGTCAGCATTAAAGGAGGGCAGGGGATCACCCATGGGGGACCTCCCCCCCCAGTTGGCGGGAGTGGTTGCAGGGGAGGGGCACATGGCCCCCCTCCCCCAGACTAAGGCAGCACCATGACAAAAAGAGTACAGCCCCTAACTGGCCTCTCAAACACTTGCACCAGGAAATTGCCCCTGGATTGCCTGTGCACTGCTGCATTGCCCTCCCAGCAAATGTCCAAGTGACTGAAGTTGGGGGACCTCCCCCCCCAGTTGGCGGGAGTGGTTGCAGGGGAGGGGCACATGGCCCCCCTCCCCCAGACTAAGGCAGCACCATGACAAAAAGAGTACAGCCCCTAACTGGCCTCTCAAACACTTGCACCAGGAAATTGCCCCTGGATTGCCTGTGCACTGCTGCATTGCCCTCCCAGCAAATGTCCAAGTGACTGAAGTCCCCCATGAAAACTAGGGCCTCTGATCAGGAAACTTCTGCTAGCTGTTTGAAGAAAGTCTCATCCACCACATCCTCCTGGTCTGGTGGTCTCTGGCAGACACCTACCATGATATCACCCTTCTTGCTCTCCCCTTTGACCCTAACCCAGAGATTTCCAACAGGCCTATCTCCAGTTTCATACTTAAGGTCTAAGCAATCATACAACTCTTATATATGAAGTGCAACTCCTCCTCCTCTTCTCACCTGCCTGTCCTTCCTGAACAGTTTATACCCATCCAATTCAATACCCTAGTCATGTGATCTATCCCACCAAGTCTCCGTTATTCTTGGGTAAAATGTGAGCCAAGAAGCAGTCTACTAAGTCTTCCTGCTCACAATTCAGAATCAATAAAAACAGGTCACTTCTACTCCACGGGCGTGTCTACATATGCAATTAGCACACAGCAATAAACTCCAGTGTGCGTTGCCATATTGCACTAGAGTTCATTGCTCCTGGGCATGCTGTTTCCACATGCACCCAAGACTGCAGCACCAGGGCAAAGACTTAGACAGCACTAGGGCAAAGACTGCAGGACAAAGCAACCTGAGCTAGCAGAGGCCCTGGGGGTCAGCCTGCCAGCTTGGGACTGCTTTGACTTGGCTCAACGTGCTGCAAAGGGGCTGTCTGGGACACAAGGGTGCTCCAGTGCGGGGCTAGCCAGCAGGCAGCCCCTGCACTGAAACACTCTTGTACCCCAGCCAGCCCCTCCAGCATCTACAGCATCCCCTCCAGTAAAAAACTTTGCGGCAGGATAGTACTTGAACTGAAGTATTTAGGCAACTCTGCAGTAAATGTCTCATGCAGACATGCTCTGAAAGTATTTTTAAAATTTTTTAAAACAAACAAAAGATCCACCCAGTCAACCACTCCCAATACATATTACAGGTACTCCTCACTTAATGTCATCCTGGTTAATGTTGTATCATTATTACATCACTGACCTATTAGAGAACCTACTCATTTAAAGTCATGTAATGTTCAGTTATAACGTTGTTTGGCCACCGCCTGCTAGTAGGTAACTAGCATGACATAACTGGATTCTCTTAACATCGTTTTGCTCAGTCACATTTTTCAAGAACGTAACTACAACGTTAAGCAAGGAGTAGTTGCATTAGGGCCCTGCTTACAAAGGTGGGGGGAGGGATGTGCGGATGCAAGTGAAATGGCACAGTAGGTTTTCCAGGCCAAGGACCAGGACATTTATCATTCATAAATAAAGTTAACAAGCAAATGACCCACATAATGAGATGTAAAAAGCATAGGGGTCAACTCCTACATTCACATGCAAAGCTTGCATGTCACAGAGAAATGGATCTTTGGCTTCTCAGCAAGTCTCAAGCCTGATGTCTTGTTCATAGATTGATTTTTAAGAAAATGCAAATTACCTGGGATAAAAAGATAAAAATCAATCAAAAATCCAGACAACTCAGTACTAAAACTAGAGCCATTGTCCTCACCTTTTTTGAGCAACAGTACTGGTTTGCCAGACTAAAATTTCTACAAGGCCTCTCAACTTTATGTGCTTTACATGCTATAAGTTGGTGGAAAATGGATTCCACAATAGTGACACTTTCCAGACACAAGCTCCCTCATGTATTAGAAATAGTGTCTGAAGCCACCTTGGTTCCCAACATTCCCCCAAGCTTTGGATTCTGCTGCTGTAGGGGACACAGCCTGAGGGGAAGCTTCAGTCCCAATCCATAAGCCAGAGGATGAGGTCTCTCTTGCAGGTAGAAGCATAGAGTGAGGGAGGAACAGATCAGTCAGTGGAAGGCATTTGAGAGCTTCTCTCTTTAAAAGGCTCATAAAGGATAAAATGCTTTGATCTAATACTCAGATCACTGGCACCCTTACCTGAATACTGCTGATTCTTTATTGGGATTCCTTTAAACTAGTTTGAGTTCACAAAATTAGTTTTAGCTAGTGAGTTTTTTTCCTATGGTTTAATACATATGTTTTTACTTTGGTGGAAGTCAATTAAACAAATATTTTTTCTAGCTAAAGAGAACCCCATGTTTTCTGCTTGGAGATAGACATTTCCTGGGGAATGAGGAGGAAGGATACAGGTGGCTGTGGTATATACGTTCTTGTTGACACTGCTCATCCAGCCCGAGGGCAATTCTGCACACACTGCTGTATTTTTTCCCATTTATTTAATTACATTTTCTACTTCTGTTTCTTTCCAGAGCCACTGCTTAGCAGAACCGGATCCCAACAGCATAAGTCTTCTGAATTTCTCAACTCACAATATAAAGTGGCTAAACAGGTTTGCCAAGTCCCAGAGGTAGCATACAAGTAAACATTCTTAATCCTCTCTCCACGTAGAATATGTAGCATTTCCCATAGAACTGAGTGATTAGACTTCCCACTAAACTAGCTAAATGCTAAATTCATACTTCCTTGGTATGAGGAAATTGAAATAATTTCTTGAACAGTGTATTTAAATGTAGAAAACCTGCAGTCATCAGTAGAGAGGGAATGCCATTCCAGCCATTGGTAGTCTCACTTCCTGGCATGCCCGATGTTGAATCCATACTGCAGTGTAGGTGTTTACAGCAGTCGGCTCTCTGGGGGAGGCTGTTAGGGAGTTGTACTTGCACAGAGTGGGAAATGCAAATCACACTCAAATATGGTGAAGTCAGAGCAGCATCTAGAAATAGCAGAGTCCCTCAGCAACAGAGCACCACCACTGCAACCTCTTTCCAGCTACTGTGTTCAAGAGACATAAATTATTATCAGCATGTTGTAGAGCTTCTGTCCAGAGTCTCAACTGCATTGCACAGCTATCATAGGGCTATCGGAGCCAGAAGTGGGCCACGAAGACAACCCCTCACCACCTTACTATAACCTTCACCAGCCTCTCTCAGAAGAGACAGTTTGTCCCAGAGACTGCTCTGGCCCACCTAGTCTTTTATTGCTCCACATTTCCAAGACCAAGGAAATCCTGTATTTAAAGTTACCAAATAAGCAATGTATGCTATGGACATGATGCTCGCTGTGTTGCCATACTGTCCTGCCTCTTTGGCTCCGATCAGATTGGAGGGATGACCTCAAGGCATCAGATGCAAATTTCATGTGTTTCGGTTTTTTCCATCAGTCTTTTTTCTTCCTTAGGCAGCCAGCATGAAGGCCAACTAATTCCACCCCCTCACACTGTATGTCAAGTTTCCTACGTTCCTTTTGGATTTGTTATTCATAGCATAACTAAGGTAGGGGCAGGGGAGGCAACCAGGGTAGGAGCCCTGGGCACTGACATGGGGAGGGTGCAAAAAAGTTTCCAGTTTCCAGTTTTGCCAGGTGTGCCACCCCTGGCCAGCAAGCAAAGCTGCTCTGTTATACCTCTTTAATAGCAGCAGCTCGAGTCATGCACCTCAGCTTGTAATAAAAGAAAGTGTAGTACATCTCTCATTTAAAGCCTAGTAGTAATGTAGTCAAGATTTCCAGGTGTTTTATTATGCAGTCACAATACAGTGAGAGGGACTCCGTGAAGTGCTTAACTTTGGGCCTCTGTTCCAGGAAGCAAGGAAGAAAGAGTTCCAAGGGATCTATAGAAATAAAGCCAGAAAAGCACCAAGCACTTCTTTTGTCTCTGTATAAACCTTGGGACTCAAAATTTCATGCTGGCAAGCCTATGAAGCACCAGCTTCAGGATTTTTGAACAGCCAATCTAAATATAGAAAATGTAATCATCTACATTTATAAAAATATGCCCAACAGAAGAAAACTGAGTTTGTACAGAATCTGGTATACTGAGAATCCTGCTTTTTACTAAGGTCTCTAGGGACCATAGTAAAAGTAATAGCATCTCTAGATTAGAAGCAAGCTGGGTTTTTTTTGGTAAAATCTTATTGGACCATATATGTAGTTGGGAGAGACAGTACCTTTCTTCGTATTAAGCCAGAAGTTTAACGTCTGCTGGCAGTTATCTCTTTCTCTCTCACAGCTAGTGAGATCCTGCCATGTTCTGCACCTCCACACCACCTCCATTTTCTTACTGCTCAGAAAAGCACACACTTCTAATACAGGGATGAACCCAAACTGAACCTGCAGATCTTCAGTCTGTAGAACCGATCCTTGTCTCTACATTAGCTTCAGCCAGAAGTCCAGACCCAAATACTCTTAAGCTTCTTGTTCTGGATCCAGATCCAAATCTTGCGACTTGTATTTCAACTGGAAACAAAATGTAATGCATCCTAAATATTAGTTTAATTGCACAGACATACGGAGATTTCTGACTGAAGATTCATGTAGCAAGAATACCATCTCTGAATGTATTGACTTTCATGACAGTGAAATCTTGGCCTTTAATGATAAGCATAGTTCACTGGTCATTTTAACAAAAAAACCTTTATAATTTGGGTTTCTTACAGGGAGAATAAAAAAAAAAATCTTTTAAGCTCTTGCTCCTAAATGCTAGTTTACTCTCTCAGGATTTGTTTAAGGGAAGTATATTTACTGTACTGTACATTAAATGTATTGACCTTTTCCACTTCCGAAGTATTACACCATACACATTTTAACCACCACCTGGAAAACAAGCACTCTCTCTTGAGTAGCACATAAAAATCAGCTGACACATCCCCGGGTTTGCCTAAACACCACAGAATGGAAATACCTAATTAGAGCAGAGGTTCCGACTCACCCCAGAGGTTTTGACTGCCAAGGACTTACTGCTGTATGCCTTGAGGTTAAATGCGTACTTCAGCTTACCCATTTCCCAAATGGGAAATGGAATTTGCCTCTCCTTGTTTTTTCTTCAACCATGTTCATTCCTAATTTCTCATCTTGCTTCTTCCTCTTCTCTCTCTTTCCTCCCCCAAAACTCTGTTTTGCAAAGGCTGCCACACATTCAGAGGTACAGGCAATAGCTTACAATAGCAGGAGGCATTTAACTGCAGCTTCTATTGTTCTTTCTTTGGGTCAAAAAATCCATTGTCAGATAAATGGAGGGTCAGCCTAATTTGTACAGAGTGGGAAGTAACATCCAGTAGTCAGCTGGGGATATCTCCAGTACAAATCACAGAAGATGCAGTTCTAGATTGCATATCTGATCTTGCTTTTTTAAGTAAAAAAAAAAGAAAAAGGAAACAAAACAAAGGAACTAAGAAAAAGAACAAGAGTAAGAGATACTGGGTTCATATATAAGCATTAGATCTAAACGGCTAAGTGTTCAAGTGTTCACAGGGCTTAGATTGCCTGAAAAATGGCATGACTGATCTAAAGTTAGCTCTTATCAGATAGCTCTTATCACTCCTCCCCAGACCAACATACTCATGAACCAGGCAGCACCCCCCCCCCCCCTGGACATGCCACCCCCCCCCCCCCCCCCCCCCCCCAACCCCACCACCTGCCTGCCTGCCTGCCTACACACAGTGATCCCAACTCAGGTTTAGGCAGTTTAAACTAAGTTACCTATACCTGAGCTGCATCTTCCAAATGCTTGTTTGCACACACTAGCTCCCCTAGGCTGTATTGTTAAGACAGCTATTTTTTTGTGATCCTACTTAAATAGTGGAGTTTGCCATGAATTGGGGGTTCCAGCCCAAAAAACCAACAGGCGAGTGCATGTACACATGCACATATACATATACACTGGGTGTGTCTACATGTGAAATTAATGCAAAGCAATAAACTCTGGTGAATATCGTGCCAGAGTCTTTTGCTCCTGGGTGCTGCATCCTTACATGTGCCCGAGACTGCAGCATGTTGAGCTAGGGTGGAACAGCCCCAGCTGGCAAGGGGCCCTGGGGGTCAGCCTGCCAGCCCAGGGCTGCTCCAATCAGGTTCAACGTGTTACAGAAGGGCTGGCACGGGCACAAGGGTGATACAGTGCCGGGCTAGCCTGCAGAAAGCCCCATACTGAAGCACCCTCATGCCCCCGCCAGCCCCGTCAGCATGTACACGTGTTGCTGTGCACTAAAGAACGCTGCTTTAGGATAGTACTTGTAAGTACTAAGTATTTGTAAGTACTAAGATAAGCACTAACCTGCAGCAAAGCAAATTAGTTTCCTGCAGCCTAATGGGGCTGCATGTCCAGATGCTGAGACTTTACTGCAGAGCTAATTAAGCAGCTCCACAGTAACCGTCTTGTGTAGACATGCCCATAGATATCAAATTGCCTGTGGATTAAATTTATAACTGGGGGTTTCCCCTGATTTTGCATTTTGTTTTGAGGTCTGGATTACATGGCATGACCAGGCAAAAAGTTGAATCCTTGTCACCCACAGTCTGCACATAGATGTCCACAGCACAAGTAAATAGTATTAAATTGCATTCAGCATATGACATTGAAAGGCATATTGGCCATGAAAGTTTTTAATTCTATGTTTTGTGGTGTTAAAGGCAGAGAAGACCCATGCACTTTTGGAATTAGATAAGGAAAAAAAAAAGTGAAACAAAATACTGTTACTAGTTCTTGACAAAGATGAAAACTATGACAACTCACACTGATAAACTGCACATATAAGTTTTGTTTTGTTTTGTTGGGGTTTTTTTTGTCTTTGGGCCTTCCAGATGAGAAATGACTTGAGATACATGTACTGAATTCTCCTAGAATGTTATTCTCTTTTGTGCTACATCAACACACTGGTAGAGCAAACTTTCTTTAAAAACTTCCACCCCCTTAAAAAAAAAAAATTGTAAAAAAATCAAACAGCTTAGTATTATTTAAGCCAGTTATTACTCCCACACCGTAAAGTCTTCCTTTCCATGTTGCCAGCTGTGACTATCATCAATTGTTCTAAGATTCTGTGAACTCCCTTCACACTCTTGCTGTGAGACTGCCTCAGTCACGTCAGTTTCCATCCATCAAACCCAAGATCTTAGATCTTTCTCCTGAAGACAGAAAGCTATGCTACCACTCTAAGGATAACAGCTCTGGTGCCCTTTTGTTCAGTGATGACCCCTTGTGTTGCTGTCTTTGAGATTCTTTTTCAGTTTTGAATTGGTCTTAGAAAACTTGGAATTTAAAAGCAGTTTATAATCCAAGGTTCATGCATTAGTCTTTTGCTCAAGGTAACGTGTGCAGGGATAGCATGGCAAGGAAAATATGGTAAACAGATGCACATAAATGTGTGTGTAACTCCATAGAATCTTATACTGCATAATCTTGTGGAATTGCTAGAATTCCTTCTGGCTGAGACTGTTATTCTGTATTTCTCAGCTCCCTGTTGCTATGTTCACAAAGAAATTTCCAGGTTAAGCAACATTTCTCTGGATATCCTCCCCCACTTCCTTTTGCTGACCATAATAAAAAAAAACCCCACAGTGCCTCAGCTGTCTTGTGTCATCCTCTTTGAAGTGGCTCCTTTCCTTCCTATTGTCCTGAATAGGCAGTGCTTTCCCTTGCACATCAAGAATTGATTGCCTTGCTCCTTTAGGGCTTGATATCAGGTGCTAAGTGCAGTAAGTCCCATTCAAGCATAGCTGGGCATAGTCTGGCACCTCTAGCCTCACATCCTAGAAGGAGAGAGGTTGAATATTGTGGGGGGAAGGGAGAAGTGATATCTTTTCATCACA